TCCCATCACCGTTGCTGCTGCTGCTGCTGCTGCTGCTGCTGTTCCGCCCGTTTCAGCCACCCATCCAGCCGGTTCTTCTCGCCTTTCTTAGGTAAGTGACCTCCCCAAATGTCGCCTAGGACCTCGGGTATTGTTAGGCTTGTTTAGGGCTCGGTTTAGGGTGAATTTAGTGGCTGGTTTGCTCGGTGATGTGTGTTGGCTGATTTCCAGTTAGGTTGCTGCTGCGTCGCTGGTTTTTTTTATTTTTACTGTGACTTATGTGGCCCGAATTTGAAGAAGTGTTCTTCATGAAATTTGTTCCCAACATCTTGAACTATAACATATTTTAATTTGGAAATTTTTGGAATTCATTTGATGCCATTCGGAAGTCCATCTTTGGACCGAAATAAAACTGCCCGATTTACTGTTCACCCGACCTTTGGGTCTGTTTGAATTTTTATAAATTTTTCCAGGCCTATTTTCAAAATACTTCCTTCACAAAACTTGTTGCGGACATTTGTGGCTATAACATATAAAAATTTCAAAGCTTTTCAAGGTGATTTGGGTGTTGAAATAAATGTATTTTGAGGACAAAATAGTCTGTTAGAGCGAACTGATTTTGGTCTGATTTCGAGGGACAAAAAGGTATGGTTGTAGATTGAACCGGATTTCGTGTTCTTCATAAGAAATGTTGATCAAGATATGTTTTATGATATATCCAAATTTTAGAATTTTTGGAGTTCGTTTACTATTTATTTTGATGGGATTTCGGTCACTGTTTAGGATTCGGTTTAGGGGTTTATGTGGCTGTTTTGGGGGCTGAGATGAAGGCTGGTATTTGGTTCTCGTGGGCTGATTTGGATTATGCTTGGGCTGAATGTGGATTGGTGATATGCCGTGTGTGTTTGGTCGTGAGGTGCGGTGGTGTGGGATGATTGCGGCTGAATTGTGCAATTGATTGGTGAGGTATTGCCTTGAATCGAATTGTATATGTGGTTGTGCGAGTTGTGGTCGTGGGTTGGTTTGAAATATGTTTTGGACTGAGCGTGATTGGCTGTGTGCCACGTGTGTGACCGTGAGGTGTGTGGGTGTGATTGTGCATTGAGTTCGCGTGCCAAGCATGTGTGTGATCGGGTAGCGTATTCGTATGATGAGAACGTGCGTTTGCGAAGTGTACGTGAAATGTGAATTGTGCGTGGCCATGTATGTGTGAGCTGCGTGTATTCTGCTGTGTGTAGGTGTGGCCGTGTGATAGATGTGGTATGAGTGGAACGAAGGTACGGGTGTGTAAGATTGATTGGAAAAGGTCCGTCCTGAGGCGTGTACGTTTACGCAGGACGATGCCGTCCCTGACGAGGTGACGATGCCCGGCCCGACGGGGTGTCGATGCCTGACGAGGTCAGAAGACCGTTGGCCTGATGTGTTTTACGCGGGCACGGTAATTAAGGAAAGGGAGAGGTAGGATTCTGTCCTGAGGCGTGTTCGTTTACGCGGGACGATGCCGTCCCTGACGAGGTGACGATGCCCGGCCCGACGGGGTGTCGATGCCTGACGAGGTCAGAAGACCGTTGGCCTGATGCGTTTTACGCGGGCACGGTAATTAAGGAAAGGGAGAGGTAGGATTCCGTCCTGAGGCGTGTTCGTTTACGTGGGACGATGCCGTCCCTGACGAGGTGACGATGCCCGGCCCGATGGGGTGACGATGCCTGACGTGGTCAGAAGACCGTTGGCCTGATGCGTTTTACGCGGGCGCGGTAGTGGTGGAAGAGTTGAGAATGAGCGGGAATTGGCTTGAGGTGCGAGGTTTGAGAAAGTGACGCGTGGTGTGAGTTGGTGTGCGAATGTGTTTGTATTGCGTGGTGTGATGCTCGATTATGGGGAAAAACCTGCTAGGCATGGTATGGGACGTGCCCAAGTGGGTTTTGCTCTATAATCGGGGCACGCGCGCGGCTGTGATGTATTTCTGTGGCATACTGGCTGTGTGGTTGACTAACGTGCAGGGACGTGCATGATGAGTTCCAGGTAGGTTCGTATGTGTTTGTTGATTTGGTTGAACGTTGTGAGTGGTGCGTGTTTCGTCTGGCACTTCTCACGGTTGTATAACCGCCACTTTCAGACCCCCAGTCGTAAACCCGAGAAGTGCACCCTTTCTTTTTGGAAGTTCGAGAAATCGCTTTTGGTGCCCAGTGGAACTGCAGGCGAGTGTCTGGAGATCCAAGCCAGAGAAACAGGAGCATAATGGAAGAGGGCGATCTTTAGGTTTTTCCCTAGGTATTTTAGGAGTTGTGTAAATCGGGTTGACCCATAGGGAAGTTAAGTTAACCAGACCCTGATCTTTTGTTATAACGGTGATTTCTGATGCTAGTTTGCTAAATATGTCTGTAATACAATGTTTGTATATTTGGTGTTGCATGAATATGTGGTTGCTGGATTGTTCTATTGTTCTACCCTGTTGTCGTCATTATTTGTCCGGGGTTTTGTTATTCGCTTCCGCATGTGGCTCTGATGTTTGGGTTGGGTCGGCGACGTTCCTGGGACGTCGCATCATTTCGACCGGAGCAGGGGATGTCGCGAGCTCGTAGGGGTTCGGGGCGTGACATGTGTCACTTTATCACTCTGTTCAAAGATAAAATATGAAATTTTTAGTTGTTTTTTAAATTTTATATCCAATCCGAGTTTATCTCACTGCCTTGGCAGGATTTCTTATCAGGCAGTTTATCCAGTCCGGAGAACATCACCAAACACTGGATAGGATAATTTGTTATCGTATCCGGACTCAAATCCGGGCTGCATACACCACAAGTATCATAACTTTTGCAAGATGCTCATTAGAGTGCTACGACTATTAAAACGTTCACTTATAGTCATAACTTTCAATTGATTATGTGAGTACCATAACTTTTTGATAGCGTTAACCCAAGTGCCAAAAATTCAACGTAGCATGGCACTTGTGGTAAACATATTAAAATTTTATGACACTCAAGTGATCAATTAAAAATTTATATAGCACTTCAGTAATTAGAAAAAAAAAAAAGTTATGCCACTCAAGTGAGCTCCATATATAAGTTACGGCACTCAAGTGATAAAAAAAGTGAAGGTATTTAAGTGAGCACAGTGTGAAAGTGACGGCACTTGTGGTGTTCCTTTCCCAATCGATTAGACACCCAAATGAGGAATGGGAGTCTATCTTACATCCGCGAACCAGAGACTCTCAATTTGCATCCAAATTTGAACTCCAAGAGTATTGAAAATTCAAATCCCAACCTCCTCTCTAATGATCGGATTCCAAGAATGTTGGAATTCTTAGTTTTAAGCTCATCTCTCCTCCTTGATTACGAATTTCTCTCCGGGTTACTCATCAACTTCACCTCTAGTTTCATGTAACATGTGGCAGTCGTAAAATGCAATGGAATGTATCCTAGGATCTAGATGTTATGCAAATGTGGGCGACGTAAATGATATCTTTGCTTAGGGGTTGGGGGTAGTTACCAAATTTTCTGATGCAATATATGGGAGAACCAAAATTTTATGCGTCGATAAGGTGGAGGAGAGGAACGGGTGACGGTTGGGCCAATAAGGAGCGAGCTGAGAGGCGCTAGATGACCGAGGAGGAGGAGACTGGAGCTCGGTGTTGATCCTATCAAAGATGATCTCATTTTCTCTATTTCGGTCACGCTACGACAGGTTCCGGTGTCTTTCAACTCGGAGCTCTCTTCTTTGAAATCTACCTATTTAATAAAGATGGATTAGCAAGTTAGTTCCAACACGAGAACGAAATTATTGGAATCACTACAAATTTACCGTTCGAGAGTATTAATTAGAGGCAAGCCCTCGACTTGCTTGAAAATGGCATTAGTGCTCTTTGTCTGTTTATTTTGTTTGGAGCCGTATTCTCAACCTTGAATGCTGAAGAAACAGTGTTAGCATGGAAACGGAAAGACGATTTCTCTTTGAGGCCATCTCTTACGATGAAAGCAAGACATTAACATCTTGACCTGGTATCCCCTTTCAGGAGGATCAAGTGTTTTGTCGCGATTTCGTCATAAAAGAGAGACATCATTGAGAGACCAACATGTGATCGTCAATCGGTCCGTCCGATTAGGTTCAAAATTTTACCCACAAAATGTGATCTTTATTCTTTTCAAAAGCTCGGAGTAATTTTCAAATGAAGAGCTTTAAAACGAATTAAGATCTCAATTTGATTTGAGAAATTTATCCAAAGTGGGATTTCAAACCCATGATCGAAATATTCCATTCAAACCATATGCTCTCCGGGGTTAGACTTGCGGTATTGGCTTACGCCTTTATTTCGTTCTTTGTATGAACCATTCGATCCATATTGAGAGCTCATATGTTAAAAATGAATGTTGGAATTTTTCAATCACGGATGTAAACCGCTAGGACGTCCAATTGATTTCCATTGATTACCATATATTCAAAATATACATGATAAAAATTCTAGAGAAACTAAAGAAATTCTAAGGAGAAAAAAATGTACTTACAACCGGCGAAGTAAAGGGAGGATTTCAATCATATTGGCATACGCATGGGACTTGTGAGACATGACACCTAAAGGTGGGATGTATTATAGGAAAAAGATTATAACACTTAGAAATGTACACGTACAAGCTGCTTATATACGTTGGAGAAAAAGGAACAGATACCATGGAATAATTTCAAAGTCACATTCTCTTGCAAACAACAACTGAGTGCAGTTTATGTTGTCAAATGCTAAATCTATACTGAAATACTAAATGTATACTGAAGTACTACCTTGCAGATTTTCGCTTTCTAACCAATTCGACAAGGTCACGTCGAGGGTATAAATTGTAAAATTTTATGCAATGACAAATGTTCGAAAAATTTAAGCTACTAAATGAAGCGTGGTTAAGGTTTAAATATTCTAATAATCAATCTCACACGTAGCCTAAATTTTTGCCAAATACCGAAGTGTGAAAAATATATAATTGGGAATGGAAATGAGGATTTCAAGAGATTTTAACTCAAGAGCATGACACATAGGACACAACCAACTGTAATTTAACATTTAAATTTTCTAACATAAATAACCCAATTGCACGATACCCCATCATATGTAATATCGATTTTTAGCATCTCTCTTCCCAAAGATCTTTTGGAAGCAACTAGAAGAATCTTTCTTCAGGAAGGGTTTGGGGGAGGGGGCAGAATTTTCAGAAATTCTCGAATGGTACTTGTCAGTCTTGTGAGCCAAGAGGAGCCACACATGAGTGATGAGTTCACCTCCTCTTCTCAGTAGCTTGGCATGGTGATACACATGACACTTGTACGCTGCATAACACAGCATCTCCACCCAGATGCTGCTGATGATCTCCCATTTGTTGTCCAATGTCCTCAGGTCGGCCACGAGCTTCTGCACCTCCGACAACACGTGCCAATCACGAGTGATCCTCGTCTCGTTACTTGGTTTGACAGGGGGTGGGATATCTCCATCCGGCGACGACAGTATGCTAATTGCTTCTTTCTCGTCTCGGTACCTCAATAAAGCCCTCAATGTGCAACAAGCGTACTCCAGCGTGATGTCGGCAGTGGTGAGGGACACCATGTAAGGACGCAAAGCGAGGAGGTATATCATGTAATCCGATAAGAGTTTGCTTCCTCTATGAGCATCGGAGTTCTCACTATCCAATTTGTGCAGGATTTCCGTCGCGATGTGCCAGATAATGATGCTCCTATCAAATGTCATCTCGATGCTACCATTCAGTCCTTGTTTCTCTTGTTGGATGCCGTGAGTTTCGAGCGTCCAGTTGCCTCTTTCTGTGAAGGGCAGCAGGTGTCTTTTCTTCTCTAGCTCCGCTATATTTTGAACCACCAGAGCCTTGAGGGACGAAGGGATGGCCTGGCGGGAGTGTAACCAGTACCTCCTGAAGATCTCCGTTTTCTCAAACCAATCAAGTACCGTGGTGACAGGCTTCGGCCATTGTTTGCACAAGAGGCGGCGGTCTAACAAATTGAGCTGCCCTACCGACCTCGACCATCTTCTCTGCTTCATGCGCCGTTTGGCTAGAAATGGGAGGATCCTTAGGACAAGCGGCGCCTTAAGGTGCATGCTCATCTTCACGACTGCCCAATCCGAAAACGCCAGCATCGTGAGTTGATAAAGCTCGAGAGATGTGACTGCCATCAGTAACGCATAGGTATAGGTGATGTACATATCGATCAAGAAGGCATTCTTGGAGATCACGGCAAATCCACACAAGGCCAACACCAAGCAGAAGAAGCCAATAAAGCGGCCTATGAGGCCACGTTTTGTGTACAGAATGGGCGCTTTAGTGTAGAGCACGTCGAACATGAAGTTGAGCTCGATCTCGGTCATGGTGAAAGCGCGGTTGGCAGGGTAACCATCGATGTTCATCCATTCGCGGGTTATGAACACCGGGTGGTACAGCCAGTTCACGAGATGGGGCTTCAAACAGTCAAACCGATAGTAGGCCTTCAAGATGTCCTTTGTGGACGCAAACTTCTCGTCCTCAGGGAACGCTTCGAACACTTGCTTAATGCCGGCTTCTTCGGACATGTCCTCCGCGGTCACGCTTGAATTCTCATCATACACGGATTGGAGAGCCCACACCCACCCCACTGACTTTATGATTGCGGCCACAGACAAGGGGAAGTACAGGTTCGAGACCGGGGACGAGCTGTCCCCACAGCGAATGAGGATCCAAATCACGACGCCCACCGTAGCCCCGATGTTCAGTATTTGTCTCAGTCCCAGCCGGTTATCTTCCACCGCATAGGCCGTTATGCTGTCTGCATACCCAAGTTGCATCAGAAGCAACGGGGCCAATAGCCCTTGCAACACCACATCGTAACCTGGATCTTCAGGATCGTCGATGCGGACCACAGTAAGCTTGCCCAGCGCGATTGTCGCAAAGTAAGAAAGGAGCAAATATGCGGCCCAGATGATGAGATTAGCTGAAATCCACGTCATATATTTCCGACGGCTGCCTAATATTACGAGAACAATCTTGCAGGCAACGCTTGCGGCGACCAAGAGCTGGATCCCCCACCCCACCCACAGACCTTTTACGAAGGAAATCCAACTGTTCAAACTCATGATGGCTTCGTTCAGGTGTGCTCACTAGACATCAATGCAAATGCAGAGTGAGGAAATTTTTCACATTGCTTCTGAAGAATAATTACTAAGTGCTTGCACCAAACTGCATAAATGCATACATCATTACATCCATTAATCCTCTCAATCTCTTAGATGTGCACGTTGTTTAAACTATATTTGGTATGTATTGGATGCATCATATGTTTCAAGTGACCCACTGATCAAACACGACGTGTGTAAATTTTTTAAAGTACTTCCTTAAGTTCTTTGTATTCACAAGTACCCAAGAACTAGAAAGGAAGATTTACGATGCAATTAAATTTTCTCTTACAATTTTGAATTAGTTTAGTTCATTGAAAGTCCAGGCAAAGATAATACATAGGCAGATTTTTTTTAAGACTGTTTGTTTACACTAAAGCAAAATTAAAAAAGTATCCTTCTTTGTTTGCCCATCAAAATTAAAAAAAAAAATTATGAAAAATTTATATGTAAATCTACATATTAATAATTGAATGTTGCAAAAGTGTCGGGAGTTTTTCAATTTAAAAAAGAATCAATATACGTGAGCCGCAAAATTTTGAATTAAATAAAAAGCAAAAAGCAAAACCAATTCTGACAAATCTAACGATTCAAAGTAAATTGATTGAAAGCCAAAGTGGCATCATATTTACCCACTTGCTCATCTCTCTCCATGTTCATCTGCCATTCCTTAACAATTCAAAGTAAATTGTTGTACAACTAGCATTTTTAATGAAATAAGATCTAAGATGACTAATAAGGCAAGGAAAGTTCCTAAAGGAAAGAATAAAAACAGTGATTATTTTGAGTACTTCTGTACATAAAAGTGGAGTGCAGTGATCAAACACATCCCCATATGAGTTTTTCCACATTGCTCTATGAGGTGAAAACTTCCAAATCCAATTTGCTAATCCTCCACTCCTCTACTATAACTATTTATCTTTCTCCAAATCTGCTTGGACACAACTTTGTAGCTCAAAAGAGTTGTTTTGCTTTTCATGTAAAACTTTGATTTTTTTTTTCAAATTTGAACAAATGATGAATTATTCGATTATCCGAACAATATCGTTTTTGGGATTTTCTTTTATTTAGCCTCCACATTCTATCGAGGTACTCTTAAGGTGAATTCTCCACAAATTCTTTAGATGTAGCTTATAAGTTTTTTCAACCTCTATCTTTCATATATTAGCTTTTCAAAAAGGAGTTCAAAACTAATATTTAAATAAAAAGAGGGAGAAGGAAAAAGGTGGAGGAGAGGTATTTCAGGAGTATTTAGTAGGGATGTGCTGGTTTTAGAATAGGTAGGGTATTTGTGCTGCCCTTGAACATACAGTTTGTAAGTTTTTGAAATCTGAAACCTACTTTATAGGCTTTTGAAACCCCATTGGAACCTTGAACTTGTCGGTTCCACAGGTTCTTGGGCACCCTATACTGCCTTGTACTTTTTCAAATTATTTTGTTTGAACAAAACTTGTCACGGTTTTAGTTATTTACACGTTGAACATTCAACATAGCACATAATTGGATTACATGTTAAAATACATGTTCATGTCTAAAGATAATATCTGTAACCCTACCACATTTCAAAACCTGCAGACTTAGATCCCTTTCACATAGGAAAGATTGCATTTAATAGCATATTTGCTATACTTTTCCTGACATAGCAATCTTTATATGTTGAAGGAACAGAGAAGGGTGATAATGTTTCCTGGTAGTTCTTTCACCAGTTGGAAAATGAACATCGAGAGCAAACATAAACATGTGCTATAACTTTTATAGAGAATGGTTAAGTGTACTGACCATCGATTTAACGTACGATAATCACTTGCCAAAGCATCCAAAGTGCCGAGCGTACAAATATCTTTGCCTAAAAGTAATATGGGTTAGTAAGCACGACAAGCAAATGCAAGAAAAAGGTGCAATGCAACACAAGACTAGCGCCACAAAACCTGAACTCGAGGGCTGATGAATCCCAGAAGTATGATTCAAAAGACAAGGACACCGACATCGCTCAAATTGGAGAAACTGAAGCAGTGAAAAGCAACAGAGATCTTTGTCCTAAGAAACATTGCGAAGGAACAAAGTGCTAGAAATAGGTGATTCCCTCTCTTAGCTAGCAGAGCACTTGTGCCTTAACACATAACAGCAACTGACTGTTTGTTGGAACCTCCGCTTATCAAGTAAGAAAAAGAGATGCGAAGGGTTAAAAAAGGACAAAAAGAGAATGGAATAAAACTCTGGCATGGGAATTTGATTATTTGCTTGCAACTTTCGTCTAAGGCTCTTTTTCTCTTTTGTCTGGCCAAATGGGTACATAAGCATGTCTGAAGCTTCGGCGTCTCTCTTTAAGGTCACGCGTTATTCTCCTTCTGTCCTGCATCTTTAGCTTTTGGATGAGGCCCATGAAAGGCTACTCTAACAGTGACCTCGGGTCTCGATGAAATTGCAGGAAGACTTAAGATCCGTTTTATTTCCTGGAAAAATTGACATGACTAACCAATATTTAATAACGAAACTATTTTCAGGAAAAATGGTTTAATTTTCTTGTGTTTGGTAGGATTTTAGGAATGAGCTAAAATCATTATCAGAAGCTTGGTGTCAGAAAACTTAGGGAAACTGCCCAATCGGTCCAAAACATATTGTTAACAGTGTCGATTCAATCCTAAACTTTCCCATTTTGCAAGTTTAGTAACCTTTCACGAAATTTCAGTATAGTCCTTCTAACCATTTTTTGCCGAAAATTGCTGACGTGATGGTGTGCCATGTAGAATGGCCAGCAATAACTAAACCATCATGTTAGCGATTTCCGACAGAATTAACTAGAAAGATTACATTGAAATTGTGCGCAAATATTTATGACTAAATTGGTAAAATTGAAATGTTTAATATTGAACTGACATTCGTACAATAAGTTTATGACTAATTGAGTAATTGTTCCCAGAAAACTTATATTGCTTTTAAGACAAATAAACCTACAATGCACAATCTCGGGCACTTGGCAGCGGGACTCAGGACCTTGAGCCTTGGACTCAAGATTAGACCTAGATTGTGAGCCCTAGACTCAAGATCCCAAGAGTTGGATGCCGAAGGTCGATCCAAGGACTCGTGGCCCTAGATGCTTGAGTCTGGCCCCGGTGTCCAAAGTTTTAGGTGCTACAATCCAAGGTCCAAGTGTCTAGGACTCTGATTTGGGCACTGAATCTCCTCTCAAGCCCCCTTGTGTCCTAAGTTCACGCACTGGGGTGTACAATCTAACCGCAAATTCTCAAGTTTTTATGAGAGAGAGAGAGTGTCCAAGCAATTGTGGAGATCAAGTTAGATTCTTCAAAATGAATATCAATCTTTTAAAAGCGTAAATCTTTCTTCAAATTTAAATATAGATTTTTGTTTGCTGTAAAAAAAAATTTCTCATTGACTCATTTCTAAAGTGATGCCAAAATGACAAAAAATGAGGAAATATGTTCCAACAGCTAGTTTTCCGCAAAACAAATGTATCGTTCCTGATTTTGAAAATATACTCTGAGGCCTCCTATAAGAACTTATAGAATCCACTATATTAAGAAAACTATGATGAGGTGGCTTAATTATAAAATTTTCAAATCCAAGTAGAAAAAATAAAAACTTCGTGTAATTTGATATAATTAAATTAAACAATGAATAACGCTGAGTACAATAAAATGTTTTACTAAAATGACAATTAATTCAAGGACTGTTTTCTCCTGTCTCTTCGATGCCTCCTGTAGCCTTTTTGACCAAAGTGCTCCATCCACGATTTCCCATCGCTTTTTTTTTTTTTAAACGCGGACATTGGTTTGACAAAGGGCTCCATCCGCCCTTTCGAAATTGGCTTGCTGGGGTCCACGAGCTCTTCGGCTATACAACGTGTTTGAGTGGGAAAAATTATCAAGAAAATTATAAATTTATTATAATTATATCAATTCAATTTTAAGTTTTATTTACCAATTGAGCTTTAAGCATTTTGTATTTATGTCAATTTAATCAATCCAGCCAATTTTGGTCGGTTAGCGCTGACATGGAAGCTGACCATCTTACGTGACACGACTAACGCTAACGTGAACAATTTTTAATAATATTATAATATTTTTTCAATTTATTTATTTATTTATTTATTTTGCCCCTTTTTTTTCCTTCACTTCTTCTTCTTCCTCTAGCTGGCTTGGCAATCGACTAGAGGCGAGGGCTGACAATGTGACCTCGCCCACCCCTGGCAAGGCTTGCACTCGCCAACAACGGCGAGGGCAAGCCTCACCATGGCCAAGCGAAGCTCAACTCACCAAAGGCCGCGAGGACGGCCTCGCTTGGGCTGCCCGCTAGGTTGACAAGGCTCGCCCTCGCTAGATTTGGCGAGAGTCGAGCATCACTGGCCATGGGTGAGGTCTGACCTCACCAGATCCGACGAGGTTATGCCTTGCCCAGCCATTGGCAAGGGCTAGCCTCGCCGGCACTCATCTCTGGTCAATCGCTGAGGTCCGGCAATTGGCTAGCTGAAGAAGAAGAAGAAGAAAAGAAAAAAAAGAAAGAGAAAGAAAGAAAGAAATGAAAAAAAAGGAAAAAAAAAAGAAAAAAAGAAATTAAAAATTTCAAATATTATTAAAAATTATCCATGTTAGCGCTGGCTGTGCCATGTAGGAAGGCCAGTGTCCATGTTAGCACTAGCCGACAAAAATTGGCCAGACAGACTGAATCAAAAGGTTTATGACTTAATTGGGCACAAAAAAAAGTTTATAACTGAATTGACACAATTACAAAAGATTTAAGATTTTTTTGGTAATTATCCCTATTTGAGTATGTTTCAATTGATAAGCCTACTTACACATATGTTCCCTCTCATCTTCACTTTACTTAATTAAAAAAAATATTATATTGAGTACGAGTCGATAAGATCTCAAGTTATTGTCAAAATTTCCTCTGTAAATTAAAAAATATTACATATAGTAAAATCCTATCAATATCATATTTAAATATCTTTTTTAATTTCTGTGACGTAACTGGAAGATGTGCTGAACTCTTTATGGGACCTCATATTGCAATCAGGCTCTCTGTTGGTAGTCTGGTCAAAATGCTTTCTCTTGGAGAACAAAAAAGTGTTTGGGAGGCTGATATTAGGCAAGACAGTACTTATATTATGAGAAAAATTATGAAGTTGAGAGGCTTATTGAAACCATAAGTGAAATATGTTATTGGCAGTGGGTAGAATATTTTCCAATGGTGAATCGTTGGCATCCTCTTGGGGCTCATTTAGACAAGTTTCCAAGACGAGCAGTACATGAATCCTCTTTGGGAATTCATCAAGAAGTTGCAGATATAATCGGACGCGCCAACTGGGGTCGGCCTCTAGCAAGATCAGAGTACCTATTCCGCATCTAAGGTGCATTAGCAGACAAACTCAGATATGGTGGACAAGCATTTTATTCTCTGGCTCTGGTGATGGAATGTCGCCCCATTGCTACAAAGGGCCAAACATGTCTTGGCAAGACTTACGTGGTTTCTCAAACTTTGGCTTCATTCTATGGCGCCAGTAAACTCGTGATGGAATGAGGGAACGGTGTGCTATTGATGACAAGTGTGTGCTATGCAATTGACCGGGGAAAATTACCCTCGCGTGAATGTCAATTCAGTCCTCAATTTTTAAATTTGGACAATTTAGTCATAAAATTTTTGCGCGAAATTCTAATATAGTCATTATGGCCAATTTTTGCCGAATATCGCTGACGTGGCGTTCATTCATTGCTGGTCGTCTTACGTGGCACACTACCACGTTAGCAATTTTAGCGAAAATTGGCGCAAAAGACTATATTGGAATTTCGCTCACAAGTTTAAGACTCAATTGGAATACTTGAATAGTTTATGACTTAATTGATATCCATACAATAGGTTTAGGTCTAATTATACAATTTCCCTTAATCAATAGCCTGAGCTAAGGAGCAATCTATTTTTTGGCTGTCAGTTCTTCGAGGAAGTTTGGATTCAGATCCTAGAGTTATTTGAAATTTCAAGATAGTCACCGAGTAAACGGTTAAGATTGAGATAGGATATGATAAGACAGGAAATGTGAGCAAATTCTTAATTTCCTATAATCTTGTTTGGTAGGTCATTGAAATAACCTAGATTAAGATTATCTATGTTAGATATATTTAGATTATATATATAATCTAAATATATCTAACAATTTACGCAATACAAAATCAACAAATAACTTATAATTAAAGAAAATCCTATTCTATTGTGTACGCAGAATAACCACCGATTGTGGCGGTCGCCATTTACTACGATGATGACGACGACCTCTGTAGTGGGGTCCGCCTAACCATGACAATCACTAGTATAGGATAGGGTGGTCGCCTCTTTCGAGATGGTCGTAGGCAACCATCGCAATACGGAATAGGTTTTGACTCGCGATTGGCAGCAACATGCGGTGTTTGCCATCGCCTGGTAGGTGGCCGCCAAAGCAAAGGTGACAATAACGCTCGTCCACGGTGGCTGTATCTGGCCAACCCGCGCGATCAAGAGAGGAAAACTCTTTAGGCGACCACTAGTTGATTGAGAGTTGCAAACACAGCGCGGTGGGCGCTTGAGGTCGGCGGTTACCAAGCGTCGACAGCTATGCACGGCAGTGCCATGGTACTGCTGAGTGGGGAATAGAAACCACAGTTTTCCTTTTCCTTTTCCTTTAGTTTTTTTTAGTTCGTTTATCTTTTCTAACTTGTTCACATTTAATCAGGGGTAATTTTATCCCACCCCTAGATAAGAACAATCTATCCCATTTTGTATTCGGATATATCCGGATTTTTAGAAAATATTGTAATACTATAGTCTGCATTAGATAGCTAATTACAAAATCGTAATCCGAGGAAATAAATTGGACAGCAACTTTTCTCGCTACACGAGAAATGTAAGTCTTTGAAACTTTTATTTTGAGTTACTATGAAAAATTAGATTTACTTAAAAAGTTGAAATATCACGTCTTAGACCCAGATAAGCAACCAAGAAAGGAACAAATTGATTCTTCTTAAGAGCAAACTGATTTTGCCAAACCAACTGCAAGCAATAATAAAAGAGTTTAGGGGAAAGACAAATGACATCCGAACATGATGTCCCTACGGGCGGGAAAACTGTCAGAAAAGTACTAAACCTATTACATGGATACCAATTTAGTCTTAAACATTTTAATTGTGCCAATTTAGTCCTAAACCTTTTAGCCTCGTGCCAATTCAGTCCTTCTAGCTAATTTCGATCGGATATTACTGACGTGAATGCCAGCCGGCTTATGTGACAACGCTTAATAATATTTTAATACTTTTTTTATTTTATATAATTTTTTCTTTTTTTTATATCTTTTCTTTTTTTTTCTTCTTCATTTTATCGAACACCAGCCATAGGCGATGGCCAGGCGGGCTGGCCTTGCTTAGGCAAGGGTCGCCGTCACCCGCCATAGGCAAGGCCTGACCAAGTGAGGGCCAGCCCCAATGAGGGTTCCCCTCGCCAAATCTGGCGAAGCCGGCTCTTGCTCAAGTGAGGCCCAGTGAGGGTCAGCCTTGCCCAGGCTAGATCTGGTGCGGTCGATGTGGCTTGGGCGAGGGCTGGCCACACCAGGTCTGGCAAGGGGAGCCCTTGCTAAGGCGAGCCCTTGCCTGTGGCGGGCAACGATGACCCTCGCCCATGTGAGGCCAACCCATCCAGCCATGGCTGTTCACCGGTAAAAGGAAGAAGAAAGGAAAAAAAGAAAAGAAAGAAAAAAATAAAAAAGGAAAAAAATAAAAATATATTATTAAAAATTGTCCACGTCAGCACTGGCTGTGCCACATAGGCCAACCGGCATTCACGTTAGCAATATCCGGCCAAAATTAGCTGGAAGGATTGAATTAGCACGAAGACAAAATGTTTATGTCTAAATTGACACAATTAAAAAGTTTAAGACTAAATTGGCACCAATATAATAGATTTACGACTTTTCTTACACTTGTCCTCCTACCGGCTACGTCCACTCTTCCAATTCTAATGATACATTTAGGCTAAACTCCTTCTACAGCTACGCCACGATGAAGGTACATCTAAGATTTTACAAAGGGCCCTCCACACGTTGTTTTCATCCTAAGTACTACCACTTCTCTCTTGGGTTTACAAATGGGTTTTGCTCTTACTACCACTTAGAATCAGCAGTCAAAAGCTATTACAGATGTGCTCATTTGTACTTGGTTATTTGCAGGAATAATCCTAAAATATCATACTTGATCGCTATGAACTTTATCTTCAATTTCAAAACTCCAGCGATCGAAAAGTTTATAACTGGAAACTCCAAGTTTGCACTGCCTGTTCAAATGCAGAGCTTACGCTTGTTTATATGACCCAACGACTGCAAATTATTACACTTGGCAAATCTCCCTTGTATGAGTGTAGAACCTGCATGGTTTGGTTATAAGCTTCTGAAACGCTTAAGTAAGCTTATCAAATACTTTGAATTCAGTTATCATCGAAGGATGTTTTCCAACATTATGTACGTGGTCTGAGTACTAACAAAGGAAGAAATTCTGCCCTCCAAAATCACCTGCCCAGTGGCTAGTATGTCGGACCGTAGACAAGTAAAAAACCAAACCCCAATCCTAGTCAAGACTGGTTTCAGAATATAAACTAGTTTCCAAGCAATAATGGGCAAGGGAGTGTAAAGAAAACAAGCCTTATATTAAGGATCTACATCCAATACATATGTCACTATGCTTCATTGACAAGTCTCTTAGCCGAATGCAATTATAGTGATTTTACCGAGAAAGCACCTCTTTACCGAGGAGAAGAGGAAAAAAACACACTACAATCGGGTGCATAGCATGACCAATCCTAGGTCATGACTCACTTTGCGACTATCCTTCGGTTTCTTCGGTGGGCTTGGTCTTGGGAGTGTGGGTGTACTTATCAGTGTCGTGCATCAAGAGCAGCCATACATGAGTTATAAGCCCACCACCTCGCCGCAACAGTTTCGCGTGATGGTAAACTTGACAATTATAAGCAGCATAGCACAACATCTCCACCCAAATGCTGCTAATGATCTGCCACTTGTTGTTCTTGCCCTTCAGTGTCGCGGCTAATTTCTGCGCATCCAGCAGCACGTGCCAATCCCTGGTGATTATGGTTCCCATCTGATCCAGGGAGGGTTCGAGCATGTCCTCTTCTGACGACAATGTCCACAAGGCCTCATTGCAGTCTCTGTACCTGAGAAACGGCTTCAATACAGCGCAAGCATGCTCCAATGTGATGTCACTAGTCGTTAGGGACAGCGTGTAGGGTCGCAGTGCTAGAAGGTATATCATGTAATTTGACAGCAGTTCGCTTCCTTTACAGTTCGGAGAATCATCGCGCTCTGAAAGGAGGCAGATGTTCGTTGCCATGTGCCAAATGATGATGCTTTTGTCAAATGTTGTCGAGATGCTTTTCTTAAACACTTCAAGGGCTTCCTGTGTCCACTCCACATCGTTTCTGAGTTTGTGAGCTTTAAGCGTCCACTTGCCGCGTTCGGTGAAGGGCTTTTGGCCTCTGCTCACGTTGAGCTTCTCCATATCTTCCACCAGCAATTCCTTGAGAGAGCCGGGGATTTTCACGCGACAGTGAATCCAATACCTTCTGTAGGTCACCTGTTTTTTGCCCAAGTATCTGAGGATTCTTCCGATGTGCCACGGCCAGTCGTCGTCGTACAGGCGATTATCCAACAAGTTGAGTTGCCCAACTGAGTTTGACCACCTTTTCCGCTTCATATACCTTTCAGCTAAGCAGTTCAATAGCCTTGTTGATATGAGGTGGTTTCTTTGGTGATGGCTCATCACCACAATGGCCCATGCCGAGAAGGGTTGCAGAACAATTTGGTAACCTTCTAGAGCGGTGACTCCTATCAACAAGGCGTAAGTGTAGGTGATGTACATGTCTATCAAGAAAGCACTCCTGAAAATAAGAGCAAATCCACACAAGGCTGAGACTAGACAGAAAAAGCTAGTGAAGCGGCAGATAAGACCGAGCGGTTTATAAAGAATCGGTTGCTTGGTGTAAAGCACGTCATACATGAATCCAAGTTCGACCTCAGCTGTGATGAAGGCTAAATCGTGATCTACAATTAACTGAGATTTAGATAGCGATTCTGGGTGGTAGAGCCAGTTTACAATGTGGGGCTTCAAGCAATCGAACCGATGGTACGCCTTCAAGATGATTGTTTGCTCCTTTGTCCAACTGGGCCTTTCATTGTCTAAGAACTTGGCAACAGTTTCCTCGTCAAAGATATCCTTGACTGATATGCTCGACCTCTCCCAGTACACAGACTTGAGGGCCCAAACAGTCAGTGCTGATCGAATGATCCCGGCAAGAGACAAGGGGAAGTATAAAAATGGAACAGGGGACGAGCTGTCCCAGCAGCGAATCAGGATCCAGACGACGAAAACGACCCTGACTGACAGATTCAGCATCTGCCGGATGCTGAGCCGGTTGTCCTCAACCGAGTATGCGGTTATGGAGTCAGGGTTCCCAAGCTGCATCAAGAGCAACGGTGCCAGCAACCCCTTCAGCTCAGTAATGTAGTCTGGTCGATCAGGATGGTCGATCTGGATGACAGTGAGCTTGCCGAGGGCTATTGTTGCAATGTAAGAAGAGAGCAAGTAGGCAGTGAGGATGACATGTCTGAGGATGATCGAGGTCTTGTACCTTCGGCGGCTGCCAAGGATGGCAAGGGTGATCTGGCAAGCGAGGCTCATGGTGACCAGCAATTGGATGCCCCATGCTTCCCATAAATCATTCAACGCAGGCCATTGTGTACTGACCATGGATGACATCAGATTGAATGATTTCATGGGGACGTGATGTTTTCAGCTGTTCTCTCTGAGAAACAACAATGGAGTGAAATTAATAACGATGAGAATGGCTAAATCGCCTTGGGCTCATTCTGAAGAATTAAACATAAATCCTAAACTTCTTGTTGCATTCATTCAATATGGTCAGTAAAATTTTGGGATCCTAACATTGCTATTCCTCCATTCCAGTGAATGAGATTAATTACATGTCCTGCATGAGTGAAACCCACTTAAAAAGGAGAAAGAGAAGTTTCAGCAGTCTGTAAGTAATGCTAGGTGCTAGTATTGCTAAAACAGATCTACGGAATTGATGTATTCAATGAGATGGCTGATTGCAGAAGGACATCTAAAGAAGCGACTCATATTCAAACACTCAACTACCAAACACCGCATTACTTAACGGACCGATTATGTAAACCAGTTCAGTACACCAGGCATTTCCCAAACATTAAATACAAGATCACCAATACACACATTTTTTTATTTTTCTGAACCGATCATCGACATGCTGACAAAACAGAATAAATGTTCACAGAGACAAATGAAACTAATGACAAGATCATAAATTTTCTGGAAAAATAAATGAAGCACAAAGTGGTCTGACAAGAAACCGAAACCTTACTATGCTGTGTGACTCCCAAGAAACTGACGAATTAGATTCTCACTAACGATAGAAATGGCACTGAGTGTGTCTGTGTTACTAACACTTGTGGGGAAGCTTAGTTAAATTCAATTCTGAAGAGAAAATAAGAGGGATTATAAAAACAAAAAGAAAGCAGAGATTTGATTACTTACTTGTAACTTTAATCTGTGATTCTTTTTCTCTTTGTTTGTCTTTCGCCAGCGACAAACCAGGTATAAAATTTGTAACTTTACACTATTCGTTAGATCAATTCTCTAGGGGTGTAAACTCTGCTGAGAGAATGTGAAGAATTCACTCTCACACTTTTTGAGATAAAAGTCACCACAAGGGCTTAAACTATTGCAATTTATGTAATCTAATCCCTAAACTTCCCATTTGTTAATAAATCTCTCAACTTCCCATAACAAGAACAAGATCAAATCAGTTTTTTTTTTGGTCGAATCACTCTTTCAGTATTATTTACAATTTTCCATAATTGCGCTATTGTCCGGATTTTGGAATATCTTTTCATTTTAATTCATTTCTTAAACCAACCCATAATAAAGTAACATTTTTTTTCCACTTTTTATCTTTGGTTCTTATAAGTACTATAATAGTGACATTTAAGTGTATTTTAGCTTGTGATCTCTATAATGTTTTAGCTGCCATTCCCCTTAATCATCATTTTTTTTTTAACATTAATCTTCATATCTCTACATCAGAGAGCTTTCAAGGATCCCTCTGTGCTCCCAATACTACTACCAATATCTTGCATCTACCCATACTCCAAACGATATCCGCATCAAAATTTAATAGAATACATCAATACACAGACATACATCTAAAATGACCTTACATCACTTTATTTCTTGAATTTGTATTCTACAAAGCAGGTAAAGTTGTCATTGCTCACTGCTTGCCTAATCACTTAGCTGATTGTGGCAACAAACCTCAACTCTACTGATTCGCAGTCTCAGAATGCTCTGGAAATACGTCTCGGCATATGACAATTGACAGGTAAATCCCCCGAAACAAAACATGTTGTTTTGCCTCAGCAAGTGAAGATGGTATTGCTGGAATTCGATGAAGCATTCCCTGTATTGGAAATTAAGGCATGACAGCGTAGGAAAGGTTATGTCGGAAAAGATGGATCTGATACTGTTCAGGAATGCTGAGAATCCGCAGCTCCAAAAGGGTTGTCAAGAGGGAGGAGAGATGGGAGAGAATAGAGTCAACAGTCGCAGAGTATAACTAACTTCAAGGACACTCTCTAAGTTTTCTTGCTCTTGCCTTGATTGGTCTTTGGTCAGGATCGATTTTTAGTTTGGTAATGCAAGTAATTTGGTCATTGATTTTAATTTATGAGTACCATCTGGATGATAAACAAAGATGACAATTTCATCTCATTATTATCATTTTCAGAAGTTTAATAGCTTCGACACGAGAGTTGATTGTTTATATGAAATTTGTGATTAACCATTGAGGAACATACAAGATTCATATAGTGTCTAATAATTGTCATTTTACGAGCTAATTAATAAGATGCAAGTTGATCCTTATTCTAAGTCTGCATACGAACCATACATGTAGATGCTAGATAAGATAAAGAGATTTTCCTCGGTCTGTTCATTTTAAAAGCCAATACTAGGACTAATAAGTCCGCATTTGTGGTGACCCTCCCGAGGAGAGAACCTCAAGGTGGTTAACAAATTGCCAAGCAAGCGTGAACAGTCCCGCTTGCAAGGTAGCACTTACACGGGCTCAGGTTCTCCCAAATCCTATAGGTCATGACTTGATTTACTCGATTGATTACGATATTTTTTATTTATTTTTGCAGCCTTCGCTAACCTATTGAAGGCCAGCTAGAGATCAAGTAAAACGCAATGCGAGAGGCCATTTTATTTTTATGAACTGAGATTCGGACCAGGGTTTGTGATTACGCTAGAGATTTCTAACGCCCAATTTCAATACCTTTCTTCCTTTTTGAAGGACAAAATCATGTGATCTTTTCATAATTTCGTTAATCCTAAGCACACACATTATTGATGGCTATACATCATTAAGTTCACATGTTAAATTTCCAATTCCATCCACCAAATATGATAAACTCATATCATAACAATTAAAATGCAATGATGATAATGAAGCAGTTAAAATGCGTGTAAAACCCAATATGAGTCGGATAAAAAATATACATCGCCTTGTTGTAAAGCCTAGGACCGGAATCTTGTGAGCTACGAATGGATGGTGCATATCAATTTTCTAAAGTAGACTAAGACCTAAAAGGATAATGAATGTGCAAATGTGATGAGCTAGACAAGATGATATACCAAAAAAAAAAAGTACTTTCCTAGACATGGAAGTAGAGTTTAACATAAGGCATTTTAAAATGCAATGCAATCTTAAGAGAAGAAATCTATTTATATGATGTGAATATGCAAATAAATGTAAATTTCTTTTGATGCGTGCCCTAGACAATTTTTTTTGTGAATTTTTTTTCATGAAAATGTTACATGAATTCATTAACATGCAAAATGTTACTTTTATATCATATATATAATATATTGGAATCAAATTGCAAGTAAGACAATCAAATGATAATACATTCTAAATATACACCATTTATTTATTTTATATAAATTATATTCTTAGCAATTATTTTAAGGGAAAATGACATAAATAGTCCATGAACATAGCTCAATATGCAATGTGATCCCTAAACTTTTAATTTGTTTTATAATATCTTTGTACTTTTAGTACATGTTCAATTAAGTCCCTAGACTATATGAAAATGTGTAATATTGTCTTTAAACTTTAATTATTGGAAGGATGACATTGAACATTTTCATATAGTCCAAGGACTAAATTGAACATATTCCGAAAGTTTAGAAATCACATTTAACAAATTAAAATTTTATGGATCACATTGCATATTGAGTTAAAGTTTATGGACCACATTGCATTAATGTTCAAGGATCATTTGTGTCATTATCCCTTAATCTAATGGATTTCTTTCTTGAAATATAATGAAAAATTATGCCTGAATATGTTAATATGAGCACACTGAAAATCGTGAATATGACTATCCCTAATTATTTAAATGCTTGAGATGCCATTTCCTATGTCTAAAACGCTTAATTAATCTACATGTGATTTTATACATTCCCCCAATGTACGAATCTAGAATGTAACAAATGCTTCTAACGTGTCTGATTTTTTTTTTTTGAAATGTGACATGGCGTAAATCATATGAATATAAGCGCAAAATTAAATGTGATGATTGGAAAATATCAAACAATAGAGAATGCAGCCGATCATTAACTAAACATAGCCCTAAAATGCAATTTCCAATTTTGAAATCTACCAATAGGGCAAATTAGACACGCAATCCTATCCTAATGTGTAAAAATAGGCAACAGCATCAATATGTTTAAAGGTGCGAACGTGGACATTATTATACAAGCCAATATGAAATTTTCTATGTAAGTATTCGAGACATAATTTCCTTTATGCGGAATAACTACTTAGAGTGTGTTTGTTTGAGAGAAAGTGTTTTTCGAGAATCCGTTTTTCAGACTTTCACCTGTTTGGTTTGCTGAAAATGGTAAGTTAACTGAAAATACTTTCAGGTCAAGAAAAATATTCATGTATAAAATTAGGAAAGTAAATTCCCTAATATAAAAAGGTGAAAGCACTTTCCAAAATTGCTCATCTTGAATTTGTTAATATTTTTTCTTTTCCTTCTTTCTTTTTCTTTCTTTTTCTTTTCTTTCTTTTTCTTTTTCCTTCTTCCTCCCTCCTCATCGGCCACAAGCGTGGGCCGATGGGCCTAAGTTCACTAGCCTAAGCTCGTGACCATCAAGGCCGAGCCCGAACCCCTCGTGCTTCTACCTAATGCTCCGACACCCGAACTTGAGTCCACAAAAGCCATGCTTGGTCCCCGACGCTCGAGCTCTAGTTGAGTTCAAAAAAATTGTGCGCGGATCCTTGATTAATGAAATTATTCTTATAAATTATTTTTTTAAAAAAATTGAATTATTAATTATTTTTATTTAAAAATTGAATTTTTTTTTATTATTTTTAATCTTTTCTTTTTTTCTTTTTTTTTCTTGTCTTTTTTCTTCTTTCTTTTTCTTTTTTTCTTGTTTCTTTTCTTTCTTTTCTCTCATCCTTCTTCCTTTGCTGGCCGCGCACCTTGGTGATGGTTGGCAACCCAGCGACTAGCCAAGACATAGCCCGACGAGCTTGAGGCTCGACCGATCCAAGCGAGCCCGAGCTCGCCGGCCTCGGCTCAAGCTCGAGGTCGATCTAGTGAGAGAAGCTCACTTAAGGCCTCACAGATCATGACGAGCTCGAGCTCCCCTGAGATTGAGGACGAGGCGACAGAGG